TCCCGGGAGGCTTCCTCGGCTGTCTTCGCCCACCTCTTTTGCTCCATCCAGTGGTGACGAGCCATCTTGGAGCCTCCAGGCTTTGAGAATGAAGCCGAGGGGGACGGGGCGCCTCAGGCGCCCTGCCTGAGTTTCCTGTAGCACTCAAAGCAGATGCCTTCACCTGCTCCCGCTCCTCCCTGGGTACCAGAGTGCCGAGAGCGCACACAGCCCCACTGTGCAGCCTGCACCCCCACAAAGAGCAGCGGGCTTGGAGCTCCAGCAGCTCTCTGGCTGCACGACACCATCACTGCCTTATAGTCCTGGCTTTTCGTTTGACCAGCTGCCTGTCCAAGTTCTCCCTGGGGTGGGGGCAGTGAGGAAGGGGCGGCTGATTTCTCTGTCGCTTCTAGGATGAGGCAGAGCACCAGAAGCTGGGGACAGGATGGGCCCCTTCACTTCAGTGTGAGCCCAGGGGCAAGCTTTGGCTGTTAGAGCGAACCCTTGGCCCCAGGTTTCCAGCTGTGTTAAAGGTGAAGCCTGCAGGGCCCTTCGACTACCGCCAGAGCAGCTCATCAGGTGCTCAAGGTGCTCATCACCAAGGGCAGCATTTGGCCTCGTGTCATCTGTAATTTTCTTTTTTTTTTCCCTTTCTTCTCTCTCTGTTCTTTTTTTTTTTTTTTTTCTTTTTTTGGTGCCTTTGACTTTCATGTCTATTTTGTCAACCAGAAAACCTGTATTCTCACAATAACCTACATGTTGCCTAAAAGAAATGCACTTTGTCTCAGCAGCAGGGACCCAGCAGCGAAGAGTGAGAACCTTCATCACCCCCCTCCCCATTCTGTCCTCTCTTACCAGGGGCGTTTTGATGCCACAGGATAAAAATAAATAAAAGCAAGTACTTCCACTTCCTCGGAGCGGAGCTGATATGGCAGTAGCTCACTGGATGAGAGCAGCTCAGACCTGAAACGCTTTCTTCTCTGTTGGGATCACAGCTTGAGCGTAGGCTTGTTGTGTCGGAATGGGCCTACTGTACCCAAACATCTGAGCTTGCTCCAGCTCCTAGAGGAACATTTTATACTCATTATACATGCAGCAGAATTTCAAAATATGTCCCTGGGACCAGAATGCAGGAGGAGGACATTAAAGGTTAGGAGGTAGTAGGGGAAAAGCAAAAGGAATGAGTAATCCGGAGTTGCCTGATAACCCTTAGAGGCTTAGCCAAAATTAACCATATCAAGATGTCGTGAAAAGGGGAGATGAGATACTTGATGTACTGGTAACAAAGAGAGGGGTTTATTGCTAGGTACCTTTTAGAAGTAAAAAGCAAAGGATCAGCCCCACATCCCAGGTTTCAAAATGTTATGATCTAAGTGCAGAATTCATCACTGCCACCACTAAGAGATCATACATCCTGGAGTGTCATGAGCCATCCGTGATTTGTGTCATTGCAGAGGATGATAAATCACTGCTAAAGACATAACAAGCAGCATCATCGCTGCAACACAATAGATCATGATGCATCAAGATCTTTGCTAAAATATTATTTACAGTTAGCAGGGGCTTGGAATGGCAAAGCAGAAGCTGATATTAATCTTCCTTGCATTGTGCCTTTGTGCACGCTAAGGGCCCTTCCCTGCCCTGGGAAAAATGGGATCTGTAACATTCACTGATGCAATAGCCACTGACTGTACAACACTGGGGTTGAGAGGAATTAAGTGTATATATACATACATATATATATATATATATATTTATGGAGAAAAAGAGTCATGGCAAGAGCAAGTGAAGTCCCATTCTTCAGAGGATTGAGAACACTGTGCTTATGCTGTTCAGAACCCATCTGTAAATGCAGACGTGTAAAGGTCTCTGTTCCTTACAGTAACGCTGAGGAGAGAAGCAACTTACTGGTTTTCAGAAAAGCTCTAAAGGTCTGGAAAAGTCTGAGGAGTCTTCCAGCTCTCACCCTATTCAGCATGTGCAAAGACTTAATCAAAATAAGCTTTACTCCCAAAACTACTTTGGGAATCACCTTAAGGGAGGTGCTAAATTAAAAACAACACCTCTGACAATATCAATGTTTTGAGGGTTTTGCCTTAAAAACAAAATTATTCAAAAATCCCATATTCCCCCACCCTCCCCCCTGCCAAAAAATCAAACAAACAAAAAACAAAACAAAAACCAAACAAACAAAAACCAAAAAACCAAACCAACCAAACAAACAAATCCCAAACCAAACAAACAAACAAAACAAAAATACTAAAAAAATAACCCCAAACCCAGACAATTCAATCTTCTGAAAACTACTACCAGTTATTTTTATAGGAGACTCTCTGGAAACAGACTCTCACTCTGTCAATCCAGACAAGTGTTTCTGAGGCACTGGGGACTGTGAGTTATTTTCTTTCTTATGCAGGACATTGCTGATTTAGGTCACATCAACAGGACTAACAGTTCCTTTTAAAGAAATGCTGAGATGGGTAGAAAGTTGTTTAAAAAAAAAAAACACTTCCTGCTGGAAGGAAATTTGCATTTCCAAGCTGTTGATGACCTTTTTGACAACAAAAAAATCCATAATGCTTTACAAGAATCTGCCCAACTCCAGCTTTACCCTGTCAGTGCAGGAATGTTATCCCTCTCCTGCCATCCTAAAGACAAAAGACACAAGTGAAGTGCCTTTCAGCTTTATATCAGTTACTCATCCTGTGTTTGCTTCATGATGTGAAGCTGAACCCTCCCACATACTTTAATTGAGTTAAATCATTGCCAGAACCTTTTAGGCTCCCTCTCGTGCACCCTTCAATGTGTGCATCTCTGATGAGGCATACGAATGGGGACGTGCTCCCAGGACATCTGGGCAGCAAGCCACCTACCTGTGGGCTCCTAATATTTCCATGAACTATATTTCACTTGAACATTTCTTTCCTGTTTAGACAATCAGCAAAGCTGGGGAGGAGAATAAGGAGGAGCCATGAGCAATTTACTGGAATATGTACAGGCATTCCCCAGATTTCCCATCCTCCTCCTTAATTGGATATTATCCCTCATTAATGACTCTGTGAGAGCCTGTAGAGTACTAATTGTCTGCAGTTCCTCTCTCTTTCCCTCCCCTCTCCCCTCACAGAGATTAGTCTTTTGTTCAAGTTCATGAAGTTTAATTTCTGTTCCTCTCACAGAGATGGGCAGCACATCCAACCTTTGTTCCACCAGAGCCCTCAGAACCTGGTGTCACCTCCCTGGGATGGTGTTTTAGAATAAGGGGAAGACCCAGACCCTCCTGCCTGCTTCATTATCAGCCACCAAAGCCCAGCTATGCCAATGATCTCACTGTGGTCCAGCACAGCTGCGAGCCTGTTGCCACCTTGTGCACCCACAAAGTTCTTGTTACACATCTTGGTCAGGTTGAAACCCAGAAGGAGAGTCAGAAGTCATGTAAGCCTTTCAAAAAAAGCAGAGGCTGGGTGAACATTTGCTGTGTGTCACCTCCATTTATCTTTTGAGGAGCTTGTGTTCTTTCAAAGTGAAACAGCTAATCCCAGAAGAACAAACAAACAAATAAACAAAACTTAATTTAAGCACCTATTAATCAAGGGCTGATGTGAAAAAGGAATGTTTTGAACGGCTGAATTATTTTGCATTGCTGACTGCCTTGGTAAGCTTTTGGCCATTTTTTGGGCATTTTTCTGACTGCTATCTTGCTAAGATATTTTAGGTCCGTATATTTAAAGGATGAAACTCAGTAAGGCTTCCACTGGCACTAACAAATTTCCTGACATGATTTTGGGTGTGATAGCCCGTTTTGACTTCCAGTCTACTTGGTCGGGGCCAGGGAGCGTTCCCGCTATTGTCTTCCTCGTTGCTCTGGAGATGCTGGTCCCCGAGGCTCGTCCTTGTTAGCATACAAGGCTGCCGCGAGCCATCGGGCTGTGACTCCCAGCGCCTGGGGGAACCCCGCCAGGTCCGGCCATTCCCGCGGACCCGTCCCGGCGTTGCAGGCGCTCAGGGAGATGGGTAGTCCCTCTCTGAGACCTTACCTGGGATTTCTGCCATGCCTGTGAAGCACAGCCCTCCTGTCCTTGTTGCTTTTTGTGACAGGGGCGCTGAAACCAAAGCCTGGGCTGTGTGGGGAGACAGGGGGACTTTTGCTGGTGTCTTCAGCAGAGTTGACTGATGTCAGTGTCACTGCCTGCTTTCTGCTGTCCTGGGGACCTGCTAGCAGGAATCACAGATACACTGCCTGTGCTTCCTTTTCCCTCTCCTATAACTCTCCTGCTACTACAGCCACAGGCTGACTTGCTGCTGCCTGCAGCCAGCACAGAGCAGTGCAGACCTTGGCAATACGCAGAGAACATGACCGCGTCTTTTAACCACTGCTACCCAGGGAAGCCTCGCTTTCCAACAAGTGTCAGATGACTTGCAGGCAATTCTTCAGGAAGACACTCTATAATAGGAAATTACTACTTGAAAAAAGAGCAAACCTTTAAAAAAAACCAAAAAAACCCAAAAAAACAAACCACCACAAAAACCCCCACCACAGAACTTAGCTTTCTGCTGGCAAATCTGAACAGATGAAGGTGATGGTAAGCTATTTGTCCCAGGAACTACAGGCTCTCCAGCCATCAACTCAGCCTGAAGTGGTTCAGTGTCCAGGTCATCCCAGGACACTGACAAGGTGATGGTAAATGATCTGGCTCTCCTCCGGAGGCCTCATGTTTCAGGCTGGTCTGTCTGTCAGGGAGGTCCTGCCGGTGCCTCGTGGCTATCCATCCGTTCCACCTCAGCCAAGGTCAGCCCTGCCCAGGCTGCAGGCTCAGCCTGCCACTTGGTCCCTGGTTTCCAGCCCCAGCATGGTTCCTGCCCCAGCTGCCAGGTCTGTGCTCCATCCCTAGCGTCAAACAGCTCTCATGGGTCTTCCTCCTCACTTTCCAGGCCCCTGGCCACAGGGTAACACCACAACCAGGGCACTCGCAGCTGCTTGGGCTTCGTCCCACGCTTCCTGGGATCATCTGTTTGCTCCCCAAACTCTCATTCTTAGGACAGTGACATCTGGACTGACCGTTCTACTTTTTCCTGATTCAGATGTGGAGACAGCTTATTTTTCTGAAGATGACAGACGGAGAGGCAGACCTTCCTCTCAAATACACCAGCGCTGCCTCGGTTCCAGGGGTTTGGGACACCTGGAGCAGGAGTGTTAGTGTTCCCCACTCTCATCCTGAGAAATATAGGACAACAGAGACCACACGGTGGTTAAAAACTCTGCTGTAAGGTCTGACCCATTTTTGTCCTCTAAAAGCAATCTAACATCTGCTCTCAGTATTTCTGTGTGCCATTTCAGAAATATCTTTGGAAGAGCACTGCTAATTCATGCCCCGTCTACTTTCAGATTGCATTATTGTAGCCTCTAGTTTTTATATGCTTAGGGATGGACCTTTATATAAACTCAAACTTCCACAGAATATTATCTTTATTCCACAGAATAAATTCAGTAGCAAAATGGATTTCTACCTGGCGCTTAAATCACAGCTCAGTCCAGCTGTCCTGCAGATCCTGATGCAACTAAGTGGTAAAAGATGTTTGTTGCTCTGTGCTGAGGCAGATTTTTGGAGGTTCTTGGGACTTTACTTCTGGAGGCAGTGAGGAAAAAGGGCTTGGAAAGACATTCCCCACAGCTCTCCAGCCAGTGCAAGCAGCAGGCAAGCCAGACCTATTGGCTTAGTGAGGTAAGGGAAGGAGAAGCAATGGAGATCCCAGAGGCTGCAGCTCCCAGATTCCCAGTGCTTCAATGTCAAGACATGGAAATGATGAACAGAAGTCCCTGTAGTTATTCATCAAGGGAGCCCCCTCAGCACTGCACAGTCAGGAAGAGGCAGAAGGGCTTGGCTCCTTGTATCAGCTGGTCTTTCATGCCCTGAAAGGAGAGAGCAAAATCCCTGTGGATCCTCTGTGCCAGCCTGAGATCTGGGAGACCTAATGGTTCCCAGAGGTACAGGCCACTGCTAAAACTCTTTCCTTGTTCCTGAGCAAGAAGCTTTTGTTCTGCAGATATTATCTACCAATAAATATTCCTCTAATTTGAGACCCATCAAAAATGCTGGCTCCACTTATTTTAGAGTCCATCTTTGACCTTTACCGCTGTGAAATACTTCTACTGATATTCCACCAGAGGCTATAAAACATCTGGCCCGACTGCACACCGAATAGCTGGAATTTTCTAACCATTTCAGTCTGTGGCATTGACCCTAAATGACAATTTATCTGCACCATTTCTGAGTCCCCTGGAAACCCTTGTGGCCTGAGATGCTGGGAGAAACACGATCCATCAAGTAAACCGAGCCCACGCCTGGGCAAATGGAGAAGACCTGATTTTGAAGGAAGAGCTCTGGTCTCACAGAGCATCATGCAGCAGCCTTCAAGGCAAGGCAATGAGATTGAAGGATGTTGGCTCTCGCACACACCCTTCCTGCACCCAGTGTCACCACTGGGTAGCAAAACAATAGGAAAAGTCAGGAGAGAGGTAGATGGCCAGGCAGGGTGACACCAGTTCCCCCCTCAGAGCCTGGGTTTCACTGCCATTGTGGCTGTGCCCCTGCATCTCCAAACCCCAAGCAGGGGCCCCGAGCAGTACAGAAAGGAGCCAGGTGCAGGAGTTATTTACTCGGACAAACAAAAGCAGTGACTTTGGCAGGCCTGGGAACAGAGGCAAGGAGAAGACACCTGCGTGTCGGCAGGTGGGATCAGCTGCTGAGGTGCTGCACTTGCTGCAGCTGCAAAAAGCACAGCAATGCCTCCGCTCAGGGTACCCACAAAATTTGCAATCAGCAGATGATGCCTTGCCCTACACCCTCTGTTTCTGACTCTGTCCCTTTCTCTGTCTCTTCTCCACAAACCATGGGGCTGCTGGCTGGTGAGGCTGGAGAGAACAGGACATAATTTTGATGTAATTTTCTTGGAGAGCAAACAGCACTTGACCTTGTGTCTCTTTTGGTGGGGCGCCAGGAAGGTCAGCTGCCCAGTGGCATTTTTGGTGGTGGCAACCATAGCGGTGAGGCATCTTCAAACTCACATCTAATTCCCTGTGTTTTCTGCTACAGATGAATAGACAAAAGACCTCCCGGGCAGGAAGGGGGGCCTTGCTCCACCAGAATTTGGATTTTTCACTGTCAGCCAAGCAGAGGATCCAAACTCCAACAATGAGCTCCCTGCTCCAGACGAAAAACATTTATAACCTCTCCAAGCTGGGCTCTGGCAGGGCGATACAAACTGTGAGCTCCACAAGCTAATGACCTTGAAAGTATCCATTTATCTTGGCCTTTCCCCCCAGCTTGAGATGCCACAGAAAATGTGAGGCTTGCTTTCTTCTTCTTTCCTTTATTTTTTCCTTTTACTTTTTGAGCAAGAGGGATGAATATTCAGGGAATGCCAACAACATGGAAATTGCTCAGTTTCACCTCCCTGGCTGGAGCTCAGTGCTGAGAATCCAGTGGAAATCAAGAGTGAGGGGCAATTGGTTCTCTTGTCCCTGGTATTCTGGGAGGGCAGTCAGTGGGGAAGGGACATCCTGCCCTGCCTCCATTACCTTATTGCTTTGCACTGCCTGTTTCTTCGTTCATCTTCATCAATAAACAATATTTACAACCAGCAAAACCAAATCCTTTGAGCCCTTGCTCTTACCAAAGGCAGCTCATAGCTTGGTGTGATGTGACAGCCTGAACTGCATTAAAATCCAGACAACAGGTTAGAAATGCTCCTGGAACAAATGGAGTTGGTGCACCATAAATGTTATTTCCTCAGGGAGAGCAGTGACTCCCTGGAGTGTTTTACTTTTCAAAGTCAGTGTCTGTTTTCTATGCATTGCCACTGTATGGAAGCCATTGCTTGCCACAGCAGGGTGCTCCCTTTTTTATGGGTTATACAACTTGGGTGTAGAATAATCCCACATCATTTCCTTTGGTGTTCAGTACAGACATCTTAAAGGGAATAGGGAAGTCACACGAAGCAGCTGACAATGGACACAGGCAGAAGCTGCTACTAAGAAACATCTTTCTACTTACAGTTTAAAAAAAAAATTACTTGCCAAGATGTTTTCTGATTGCTGCACATTTTAGTCCTCTTATAGATGTAGTGAGATCCAACCACTTTATTTGCAGATATCCTGCAGTGTACAGCTGGATCTAGCTGCTGCTCTGCAGATGCTCTAGCACCTGAGGGCTGGGATCTGCTGCTCACCTTTGTTCTCAGTCAGTATGGTGGGCTGTCTGCTGGGACCAGCATTTAGGCTCCAGAGAGAATTTTCTGGCTGCTGCCTTTGAAATAAGCACCAGCTCGTGTTTCCATTTTAGGCATACATGTAGTGTACATCTTTGCTTACTGGGCACACTGCAGTGCAATCCAGCTCGGGAATTCTTGGCTTCCCTCTGGATTTTGATGACTTTATAAAAGGTAGTGTTGCACTGAAGGGGTCCATGGTAGTCATCTCCTGTCTCACTGCCAGCAGGATGGAGGCTCATATGGAGACTTACAGAACAGAATTATTATTCCAGGAGATGCACACCTCGAGCCGCCTGCCCAGTGCCATCACTGGAGATGTGCTGGAGGACCAAACACACCAAGGACACAGGACTTCAGTGTGACTCTGCGCTGCAGGTGAAGGCTTCCTATGGCTCTATGGGCCAGATCTGTGCTTTTTGGTGGGTCAGGAAGGCTGAGCCAACTCCTTGTACTTCCTCTGTTGCACCTCCTGAAATGCCTGGCTCTCCAGATGCTGAGCAAACACCCCTGATCAGTGGACAAGGCCTCAGTTCAGATAGATGCTTCAGCATCAGCTTTAAGCAAGCTATTAAAAGTTTGCCAGTATTCAGGGGACTGGTGCAGCTAGATCGTATTTAGCTTGAATACAGCTATCAGAGTCAGGCCGCTTTAAAAATACCTTTATGATATGCAGGGTTAACTATTTCTTTAAAAATAAAAATCCCATCACAGAAAAAGAAATGCCAAAGCCTTTTCGAAGCTCCTTAACACAGTGAATAAGAAATCAGAGTTGATTTACATAACAGAGATATACATACGTATGTATACGTGCGTGTACATTTGCATGAGAAGCATTTGCAGGGAATTCTAAAAATAGAAGACATTTCAGAGGTTTTTAGGCAAGTAAACCTTTACATGCTTTTATGTTTTATTGCTTCCCTCCAATTAATATTTTAAATTAAGACCCAGTCCTCCTGTCTTCTATAATCTGCAAGCCAGTGAACTACAGACTTTCCTACAAACACCTCCCTCTAATTCCTCCATTGAAGGAACAACCAAGAACACCGAAATGAAGGTCAGTAAAGAAGAGATTCCTTTGTCTCCAGGCTTGCAGTTCTTCTAAAATGAAATTCACCCCTTAATTTGGAGGGCAATTTTCCTTCAAGGAAGGTAGGAAAATTATAATAGTTCCCTGTAAAATACTTGCTATTTTAAGATGAAAATGTTTGGAGGTTTGAGGTATCCAAGCAAAAATGGGATGAGGTTGGAAACCAGCTCTTGTGAACTGGGTCCTCCAACTACTTGAAACAATGCTTAACCTAAACCTTAGGCACACCCTTACTGACTCAGGTAGAGTGGCTCTCCTATCTCACACTAAGCGTATGTGCTTAACTGCTCCTCTGGGTCAGGGCCCCAGTTAGCACACCAAGATCTAATTTTATTCTCAGTTACAGCTGCATAAGACTATATTAAGCAAACCACTTCATACCAGTAACAAAAATTAGATTAAGCTTTGGCTTAGGATAGAAAGGGAGAACATGACACAGAAAAAGGTATCTTGTTCTTGGGTGTTGCTGCCTCTGTTACATATGTTCGTACTCTGATAGCTCTTCGTCCTCTTAAAACCTCTCTGCTCCACCCTCATCTCATTCAGAGCAGTCTAATTTCTTCTGTAAAACAGCCTCTCAGCAAAAAGTGCTTGCAAGCCAGCAAGATAATGCCGTGCCCAAGATCCCCCAATTTCTAAAACAAAGCCTGCTAGCTAAAATCTGCACAATCCATAGGTAAAATGCATGTCCATGAGCTAAACCTGCACCGGTGTCCTTGAGTAACCACATTCTGGTGTCACTGTAATATCTTATTTCTTCATTCTTCCCTTCTCCATCAGGCTCTTTAGACCTTGATCCTGGTGCTTCAGGCACCAGCTCACATTACTCAGAAGTAAAGCCCACTGACTTCAGCTGAGCTTAAGTGTGTTCTTATGGTTCCTGCTTAGGGAAGCACCCTTTTTAGATGAGCTACACTAAATTATCCAGAATTACACTAAATTATCCACTTACAGATAAATACATGCTTTGGTGTTTTCCTGAACAAAATGAACATAAACATGAACTCAAGACCAGCTTGAAAGATCAGCCCTTAAATTGTTTGTGCCCTGGTGCAGGCAACTGCCTTCTGTATGCCAGCTTCAAAACACCTCACATGCCACTGGATCTGTAAACATCAGCTAGTGCTAAAGTATTTAGTTTGCCTGTTATTTGCACCTGTAAAAATCAGGGATAAATCCAGGACAAATCAGTAACGGGAAAGAACAGGCTGGCCAGTTCAGTGGTCCCAGCTTTCCTGCTTGCTGGAAGCCATGGCAGGACTGGAAGATCCCCTCAGCACAACAAGGCCATGAGGTTTGGCCCCAGTAGGCTTGGGGTTGGCTTTGTCCAAGCATGCAGGATAAGATTTGTGCGGTGCAGTGTCAAACAGATCCTGGTGACTCCTGGTGGCTGAGAGGTGACAAATGACAAAGTCAAACCCAGACGTGGTTTACCCCAATCTGTAGCAGAAGCCACTCTGATTTTTAAAAATACAATTTTGTCTTCATACAAGGGAAGCAGGAAAAAGCAGCATGAACAGAGGCACACTTCAAGTTGAACAAAGCAGAGCTCTTGTTTGAAGCACTGGCAGGAGCCCAGCATCTCTCAGGGGCAGGCACTGGGGTCAGTCCTGTCCGGCTGTCCCTGCCAGGGAAGGACAAGGAGCTTTAAATTTTATTAAATGTGGTTTGTGGGGTTTTTTTTCTGTTAGTGGCTTACCTTTTTTTTTTTTTTTTTGTCTTTTTTGCAATTGATGTAGTGGTTGTGCTATGCAATATAAGCCAGAGGGTTTGTAGAATTACTGGTAGGACAGCGTCGATATGGCAAGCCAAAAGTTTGAAGAAAATTCATGCATGCAGGCTCCTAAATATGGATCTACATGGTTATTTTCAGCCAGAGTCTTGCACATCCATAGTTCTGGGTTAGAAAACATAAGCCCCAGGTGAAATGCATTTGGAGGATCTCTGCCATCTGATGTGAATGAAGACCCCTGTCACAAAGTCATCTGTATGACCTACTTGCTTCTCGCCGCTAAGGAATTGTCCAGGACTCATGTAGCAACTTCAAACTCAGGCACATTCCTCGAGCTGTGTGAGGAAGCTTGCACATTGCCTGACCACATTATATCTGCCTCTAGGCAGTGTTATCACTCCTTCCCTTCCATATGCTTAAGCAGAATTTTTACAAAAATAAATGAAATACATATGTACATTATGCAAAGAGTGTTCTTGAGCCGTGCTATATTTGGTTTTGCATGATACGTATCCAGCGTGTAGACCATTGGCACTCGTTTTTTAACTGTTAGAGATAAGCAGAGTCACAGTAAGCTATAAAAGAGTGTAAAATATGCAGGGCCTGATTCTCCGGCTCACGGAGGCCCCTTTACATCACGCTGGCACTGCACTGGAGTCTAAAAGAAAGTGCACATGTGACTGGAATCCACTTTCAGGCCCTTTTATACTGCCAAAAGAGCTTAAAGTTGCCTGAATTCAAATGAGATTCAGATGCTTGTAGTAAAAGCCGGTAGCCATCATTAAAATCTTCATTAATACTGCTGCCCCTCTGCCCCCCAGCAGTGGGGTGACCAGCAGCAGTCACCCCTGGGCACTAGGAGCTACTGGAGGATTCAGGAGCACTGTGCCTCTCACCATCCCTGGGGGTACGGGGGCGTTCCCGGGAGCAGGCACAGCAAGATGGATCCAGTGGGTGCCACCACAGGCAGGAGGATGCAGAGGCAGACAAACAGGGGCTATGTGGGAGCTGAACAGGGAGGATTATTTGGGGCTGAGTGCCCTGCTTCTCCCAGCTAGTTCCCTGCCCAAACAGGGATCCACATCACCCGAGTCTCCCTTTTCATAGCTGTTTTTTCTCCTTACAAAGAGCTGACACAGGACAAGCTGCATGTACAAGTGCAGGTACACCCGCCCTTGGTTTTAATCATTCAGCGCCAGCCAAAGAGGGAGGGACAGGAAGGCTCTGCCACCTTTCCGCTTTCCCTACGGCAGCCGCCTCCACCTTGGCCCAGGTTGGATCCAGCCACCCACCGTGCAGGCTCTGGCTCTGAGTGCCTTGCCCCAGGGCCCAGACTCAGCTGCTTCTGCATCCAGGAGGGAAACCAGAGCTGCTGGCTCGTGACTGGTGCTCAGATCACCAGTTCATGACTCTCTCCTGTGAAAAAAAAAAGTTGGTTTGCATTTAAAGTGTTAGGGAAAAGAATTTTTTTTTCTTCTTTTTTTTTTTTTTCCTTTTCCAATCCCAAAAATCACATGGCCAGACTATTTTAAACATTCCTGGCTATTCCCCCATGCACCAGCTCCCTTGGCTGGCACTGGGGTATTCTCGAAGCTCGGGTAGGAGAGTAAACTCTGCATGTATAATTTATCCATTGTAAAGGATGCAAAATCTACTGGGAACAGGAGGGGATAAGAAAGAGCGAAGACACTTGTGGATGCCAAGAATTCCAAGTGCCAGACCTTGCTAGCGCTCTTCCAAAATGGAGGGTCCTACACGGCTCCCGTTTAGCTAGAGCTGAGCCTAGCCTTGCCTGCTGTGTTGAGATTTGGCAGGCTGCAGCTCGCCATTGTTGCAAGCTCTCATCCAGGCGGCGGTGCCAAGCCTTCCCTCCGGCTGCAGCCCTTCCAGTGCCGTGCGCTAATCCCCTAGTATCTGCCTCTCCCAGATCCGGTGGGGGCACCCTTCGGAGCTGGGAAGGGAGAGGAGAGAACCCTCTCTGCAGAGTCCCCTCTCCCAGCAAGCTTCATGAAGAAGCCTTATTTGTTAACCTTAACAAATTGCCACTATCAACATAGCAGAGACATCACAAAAGAGCGGGAAATCCGCTCGCCCCGTGCTCCAGAGTTGGGCAGCTTAGTGCTGGCTCTTTCACTGGGGAAATCGAGGGATCGAGCACTGAAGCTTAACTTCTGATGCTATTTTTAATTTGCAGTTTCTCCCTTATTAGCCTGCCTACATCGTGAAAGCTCACAGGAGACACAGGTCACTCGCTCTGCCTGGCAGTCCCTTGGACAGTGTTGAAGTAGTGTCATGGACGAGCCAATGAGGGTTGTTCATCCCAGCATTCCCAACATGACCAGGCCAGCAGCTCTGCACCACCAGGCAGCCCCACAGCACTTGAGCCCCTCTCCCCTTCAGCACCCGCACCTGGGACAAGCACAGGAGCCAGCTGCCCCTTCCCCTCGGCAGAAGCACTCAGGGTCCATGAAGCCCTCCTGCAGGGCAGGAGCGAGGGAGGCCACAGTTCCCAGGCACCCACAGAGGGGCCACCCTGCAGCCCCCAGTCCACAGCTGAGGCCAACCCTCTCTGGGGCTCAGCCTTCGTAGCCATGGGTGCTCCAATGCCACGGTTGTGCAATTGCTGTAGCTACGTAGGTTTTAATTTTTAACACCATTTAACACCAGGGTTGAACACTATTTTGCAAAATGTGAATTTTGCAAAAGCAAGAACTAAGCTCTGGATGCTGTCCCCACACCCTGGCTGCCATCCCAAAGAAATCCCTGATGGAGGGAATGCAGCAAGCCTCCACTGCACTGGAGCAAAACTGGGTCCAAGGCACTTGGCCCTCCTGCCAAACCTTCTGCTTATTCCTGCAGAGGGGTCTGAGCTTGGCCCTCTTTGCAAACCACAACAGAGTCTTGCCTATGGCATGGGAAAGCATGGGCTTCCTGGCATCCCAACACAAGGAGGAAAAGGGCCAGTCATAGGTGACACACTGTTGCAGTGGCTCCAATCCACAGTGGGGACAACCCACGTCTGGCTACACCAGAATAGCTTTGGGAGCTGATGACGAGCCCCCATGGAAGAGACTCCTCTGCACCATTAAAACCCTTGACCAGAATGGAAACTGCCCATGCGAGCGATTTTCATAGAAAAGGGATGTTATCTCAGAGCAGGTTGTGCTACCTTGCATCCATAGATGTTTGAAATTATAAGACCAGACTGGTGCTGGTCTGACCACGGAGGCTGGTCAACACAGGAAGCAGCTCCAAGCCACCGGTGGCTTCCCTCCTGGAGGGGCAGGGAAGCAGTGCAACCTCCCTGTCCTGTCAGGGGTAAAATCTGCCTTTTCCATCCGATATGATAAGCACCTCCCTTCAGCAAAGCATTTGTTTTTTCTAGCACCACCACCAAGATTCCCCAGCTAGGTGTGAAAGGGTGGCTTTGGCCACAGCTGTGCTCCATGGGCCTGCCTGTCAGCATGTGCCTGGGTGTTTTAAACAGTTCACAGGAATCTGTGCTGCAAACAAAGCCATGCTGTGCCCCCTCACCCCTGCACACGTGGCCCAAGATTTATCTCAGTGTCTCTGTCCCTGCCAAGTTGCTGGTGTCAGGGTGCTTCGCCTTGCCCCCAGACCCTGCGGAGGGGGCTCCGCTTCACGCGGTGCCAAGGACAGCAGGGGACCCTGTGCTCCAAGCACCTCACTGCAGGGCCACCCTCCAGCCTTGCTGTTTATACCATACCACTGGAAAAGCCTTCCTGCAGGTTTCTGCTGAGTTGCTTCAAAGAGCTTTCTTTACCTTAATGTCCCCAGGTGGCACTTACTGTGGGAGTCAGTATTTCTAGCCTATGCATGTCTGTCCTGTGCTTACTGGGGAGGCAGGGCAAGGCAAGAAAATGATTCTTTATTGTCCTATGTCAATTTGATAACCGGCAGTAAAACTATGAAAGAAGCAAAGCAGCACCTCTGATGATAAACTCTTCAGTAAGCTGCTTTAGTCCAGCTTCCAGCAGGACAGAAAGAGGAGCATAGCAATCAAAAAGAACCTGCTCCATGAAGAGAAAAAAACAAAAGCAATCTGAAGGAGTCAAACAACTCTCTTGAAGGAAGGCAGTCTGTATCCTTCAGGAAGGGCAAAGTGCTATCACTTAACAGCCCGTCTGAACCCTTAATTGCAGGTTGTCAGGTACCATACATCTCCAAACTTTCTGATGTGCAGGGAGTGGTGTGATGGGAATAGGTAACACACAAACATCATAGGCTGGGCAGCGCAATGGAAAGACAATGTGTAAGTGCTCAGCTCCACACCAGAATATTCCTGTGTTTTCAGGCTGAGAGGCCATAGCATGCAGGATGTCAGCAGAGCAAAGTGATCGTGCAGAAGGTGTACTGGGCTCACAGCTGAGGCAAGTTAATTTCATCTAATGGTTAGGAGCCAGGTAACTAAAGTTAAGTTCCTTTATAATTCCCATTAATAGCCTATGAGAAATCAAAAAGCTCCAACAGCCTCTTCAAAAAGAGAAGGAGTAACCAATAAAATTACAAATTAGACCAGTCTAGAGAAATGTGCCTTTGCTTGCTGACTCAGTGGAAGCCAACTGAGCATCTTCTTGAGCAGAAAACAGATAATAAACGTCATCTTGAGAGATTCTCCCAGATGTTGGTTAAAGTTGAGTCTGTAGCAGAAGCTATTGAAATCTCTGCCGTAACTGTTTATTGTACAAGCTGCATTTCAGAAAAGAAACTGCACTGAGAGTCCCGCAAATGTAACAACTCATGGTAAAAACAGCTAGTGAGCACAGAGAGGGGAACAGCTCCCAAAGGGCTGCCTCTAAATGGTGTGCAGCCCCAGGCTGGTGAGGGCAGCCTCACCTCTTGGGGGGATAGTGACCTAGGGAAATCTGTCACATTGTGAGGAGTCTGCAGGGTTTTGTCCAGGCAAAATGGGGGGGGAACAGGACGGACAACCCTCCAAAGCAGGGACCCCCTGCTGTCACCAGGGCCCTCTCCAGCAGGTCTGTGACAGCCTGGCTTGACAAAATATACAAAGAGGGACAGAGGGCAGGACTTGTTCTGGGCAGGGGGTGCATGTTTTTTGTAGCCCATCACAGGCATGGAGATGGAGTGATCACAGCAACAACTGCCAGGGAAGGCTTTGTCCAAAGTCCTCATCACCCTGCAGAGCTCTGCACTGCCCTGGAGCCCTGAAGAGATGAAGCCAATATGGAGCTGGAAAACCAGGAATACTTGTCATTGTCATCGTCATCTTCTTGGGATGCAAATATAGCGTATGTTCATTTCCAAATGCACAAGAGGAATATTTACTGATTGCAAAGCCTTTTTGTATAATGTTTGACTGACAGTTTATAATTTCCATTTAGCAACACACTGTTATTCAGATTGCCTGTCCACTAATATGCTTCAAAAAAACCCCACATTAATTGCCCTTAACTGTAACTCTGTATAATGGTAAGCCATTGTTTTTTATTTTACCCATTCTATGCTGTTCCTTTCTCCTTGAATATTGCTCCTAGGCAATATTCATTGCAACTCACTTCCCATTCTACTGCAGGTGTATGGAAGTCCATGTAACACAAACACTGAGACTCCTAGACATATCGTGATCAGTGTGGAAGTGACAGAAGTTGGAAGGAAGCCATGGAGCCTACCTCTCCTGTTGGCCACTCCTGAAGGCCACTGGTGCACTCATCTGGTGCCCAGGGAACACTCCACAGCATCCTGTCCCTTACTAGTGGATTTTCATCTTCATTTATTTGCGCACATAAACATTCATATGTAGGCACACTCCACACATAACCCTCACAAACACTTATTTCTTTATAAATATATACACATCAGTTAGTTTTATTCCCTTCTAATCAGTTTGGGCATAACCTCTCAGTCATTTGAGTTTAGGAATTTGGGCATTTAAGAGAATATCTTTCAGCAAGAACAATTAACATTTTTCTTGCTCTCTGTGCCAGGTTATTCAGCCCATAATCTCTACCAATGTAAGCACCAAATGTCCCTAATTAGTACTGGGTTTTAACTTTTCTTCTTGCGCCGAAAAAAAATGAGGTCCTGATCATTTTGTACATAACTGCCAAACTTTATTTCCATTACTCATTTCTCCATCTCTCAAGATGGCACCCAATGCAGGACCCCTCCGAGAGCAGCAGGCAGCAGAGCCACCTGACTTGGAGATGGTTTTTCCAATGCTCAGAGTGCCCGCCTCCATGACAGGTGTAGCAGGAGAGCGCCTGAGGAGACATCCCCAATGCTCAGGGTTGTCCTCAGCCACGGCCGTGCCCAGTCAGTTTGGCAGTGCCCATGGGGCTGCCAGTGGTCACCTGATTTTCAAGGCAGCAGCCGCCACGTCAGGCCCTGGGGACCCTCCATGTCCTTACTAGCAGGGCAATCAGGCCCCAAGGATCTTTGTGGGAAGGGTTTGCTGCCTTTCTCCCACTCCCCCAGCGTGGCTGCCTCCCTCACTGTGCTCCAAGTGAGGAGTGAGACTCTTCTCCCCTTTCATCCCCCAGCCACAAATATCTGTGGGCCGCTGGGCAGCTGGCAGGCACCGGACCGACACCTGTGTGCCAGATCCGTCCAGCTGTGCCTGTGACACACCATCCATCTGCGGCACTTCTCACGTGCTGCCGCCAGTCGCTTTCCCTGAGGCCAGCTGGGAAAGGAGCCGGGGCCGGTGCAAGGGAGGCAGCTACAGCGGAATTTTCAAACAATGCTTTCCCTCCAAACTGATTTCCTCCTGCCGTCTTCTTGCAAGGGACAGGGCTTGCAGCTATTGCGACCCGAGGGTGCCCAGCCCTATAGGGCCAGGAGTTACTCAGAAGCTTGCTCCAAGGCCTGGGGCTGGGAGCATCCCAGTGTCACAGTGCTGGGGCATCCCTGGTGGCTCCTTCCAGGCTGGCAAGGGCTTCTCACACAGATAATATGGCTGAGATCAATGGTGCAGCTACTCGATGCTTTGCATTGCTTAGGCACTTGAGGGGTCTGCTGTACACTTTTTTTCCCTGCCTTGCCCTGATTTGTACCCAGGACAGTCGATGCCAGCAGCAGAACTTTCCCTGACTTTGCAGGGACCGGGGCTGGGCTCTGGGCAGGTGGCAAGAGAGAAGCAGACCATAGATCTTCTGAATTAATTTTGGGGTCTATCATACACTGGAAACTGAGACCTACATGATTTTCCTCATTTTCAAAGTCTCCATCTATGACAACAGCTTTGCAGGAAATTAAACAGTACTTTGAGCAGGAGTGTGCTCATGGAGATTTGATGCAAAGACTTTTTGTGATGTGGTTGAAGCCACAGGGGAACCACCTTATCTGCTCTTCTCCAGCTGCTAACCATCTCCCCAGAGGCTCCTCAGCACCTCTGGGCGAGCCACCACAGCTGACCTGCCCCACTTCTGTGTGCCCTGCCACACCAGATAAAAACATGGCAAACATATGAAAGACCTGACTGAAAAAGAAACTTTTAAAAAATACACCTCAAGAAATATCACCCAGGGAAGAGGTTAACCTTGGTTACCATGAAACATTGCACTCCCAGAGTGAGGCCCAACCACAGGCAAAGATGGCCAATCCCCTGCTTTGTGGATCTCTGACCCACCACTTGGCATGCACGGGGCCGCTCTCTTGGCACGTGGCTCCCGGGGTGGCCACTCTCTGAATGTGCACTTCTCACTTAGTCCCATGTCCAGGCAGCCACAAAGGGCCCTGCAGAGAAAGCAGGATGCTCCCAGAAAAGTGCAAGATGTGGATACCTTGGTGGGAGCCAGGCGAGCAGTCACAGCACGTACTGGCAGTGTCGTCATGGCCTTGCTTAACCCCTCTCGAGCAAAGGCTGGATGGTAATTAAAGGCATGCCGGGTGCCAGTGAAGCTGGCAAAGTTGCTGCTGATCTGCATCAGTTCAGTGGTGGAAGATTTCACAAAGAAAACATCCATCACTGCATTTGCTGCAGCAGAGGGGTTCACCCATCGCTGCCATGACCCATTGTCCCATCGTTCCCCACATGCCAGGGGACAGCAAGGCACCTGCAGGTACGAGGGCCCTGGGAAGGACAGCTAGGAGCAACCAGAGCAGCATGGAGAAGCTGGTTTTCCTCTAATGGCAAGCTTCAAATCCCCAGTGCTTTTCCACAAACTGATCCACCACCCAAAAACTCTGCATCCTGCTTCTGCTTTTACTTTGCAATCAAAAGGCAGGAAGATTCTCCTACTACCCTCCCTGCCCTGAGCAGAAAAGTTCCTTCCCCCACGTTCTCTGCTATACTTCCCAAATTACTTTTGCATTTTTCCTTTGCTTTAAGTACTTGCCCCAGCTGACTTGTGTGGGTCAAACAAGAGCCCGCTGGCGCCCATGACATTATGCTCCCAGATCAGCACATCCTTCTCCTCATCGTCATGCAGAGCATAATTTTCACCTGTTATTGAAAATTCAATATTGGGAGTTTCTAATTCCAAAGATTTTGATTTTTCAATAAAAAAGTGAAAATGAATCTCGGCGGGATTGCAGCAGAAATGTTGCAAATGAGCTGCTCACATAAAGCAGAGAGGGAAGAAAAACACGGAGGAAGAGAAGGACAGAGTAAAGGAGAGGAAAACACAGAGACAGCCCGTCCAGACCAGTTTAAATAATGCAGGTGAAAAACATGACCAGTAGCAGAGATGTAGTTTTTTGGGCTGCCGTGCACAATCCAATGGAAAGTAGTGCTGCTTGCTCACTGCCCCATCAGTTGGTTAGACCGTATCCCACTGCAGCATCCCTGACTGCCCTGCTTACTTCAGTGCTCATGTGCCTACAGCTCAGTTTAGGCCACTCATGTATCAGGGCCCCCCAGATTTCGTAGCCATTCTGTACATGTCTTACTGTACATGACTTACATGTGTGTAAGTCCTTGTCAATGTCATCCTTATTAAATTGAATGGGACTTTTCTATCAGGGTTAATTGGATGGTTAAAACAACAGATAAGTGTTTTAAAAAAAAAAAGAGTCTTTTAACCAAACTTAACTATGAGTCTGTTTTCCCTATTATTTCTAATAAAATAGCCTGTATTAAATATTAATAGATTGCTTTTTGGTCTTCTGTGTAGTTGGAAATTTCAGTGGATGAAGGGGATGGTGTTAGTCCTTCGTTAGCCATGAGGGTATGTTACTTTCTCTCCTAGATCCAGTGTTTTACTTGGAGACCTGTCTCCTACTGACATCTAAATCTGAATTCTCTCAGCTTTGTGTGAATCACCTTGCACGCAGCAAGTTTAAAACACGGCTTCCTATCTTTTGCCTCTCCTGTTTTGCAGATGAATCCCTGTTTCTGATAGCTCTGCACAACCCCATCCCTCCATCCAGACACCCACCCATCCCTCCATCCACCCCTCCATTCATCCTTCCATCCGTCTCTCCTCACTGTCTCTCCATGGAGTCACCTGGGCAGCGGCTCCTGTGGGTGCCTCCCCCAGGCTCACATCCAAGTTCGCTCTCTGCTGCTTGCAGATTCTTTCTGCATAACATCTCTGAGATATGGCCTTCCTTACCCATCTGTACAGCTAAAGCTCTTGTCAAGACTCTCAGCATTTCACATCTCAATTACTGTAAAATCCTTCTCCTTGCTTGGCAAATGCAGCTTCATCCAGCGCTTCCTACTCCATCTCCCTGCCCAGCCACTACCGTACCCGCCAACCACAGCTTAAAATCATTTATGCTCAAAAGGATCACACACAAACACCTCTTGCGAGTTATTTTTCTTGCTGGCAATCTCAAAACAACAGTGAAGCTACAGGCTCCCACCTGGATTTGATTTTAGAGGTACAGCCCGCGACACCAGGAATGGTGAGCAGGAACTGGCTTACACATCTCACCACCATGCTGAGATCAAATAAAGCACCTGGGGCCAAACTCGGCCCGTGAAGTATCACTGCCTTTAGTTCCCCTGGCAATGCTCGAGGGTGCCAGCTCTAGCTCAGAAACCCCACGTCCTGCAGTGGCACGTGCCATCCCCCAACGCTGACCTGTCTCCAAACCAACACAAGCTTATGCCTTATGGATTCTGGTGTATTTAATACTTACAAATCCTTCTGCTGTTGCTGTGTAGATTCTCCTTTTTTCCCCCTCATCCTCTCTTTGCTGAGCTGCTTTTCTTCTTCCTTCTCCTCCTGCTGCTTCTTTCTTCCCCTTCATCTCCCCTCCACCTTGCGAGGAAGCATGGAGCTGGCTCCCCCATTTTGCTCCTATTTATTCTCAGGTCTGTGTGGCTTTTACTTGGTGTTCTCTGTTATGAAGACAGCACACTGAGAGTTTAAACAAATTTGGCTTTAGGTGCTTTAATGAAAAATTAACGGATTCAATACTGGTTTCACCATCAAAAGAAGAACATTAATGTTTAATATTTAAACAATGCATCTTCACAGTAATTCCATCCCATTTCACACAGAGAACCCACAGTAAATGCCTGGGGTAAGGCAATAAAAATACCAAACTGTAACACTATTTACTATTTTAACTGTGTCTTTCACAGTTTATACAGCTCCTTTACAAAGAGAATTGGATCATTTTTTAATGACAATTCCCCCTATCCTCTGCCATTGCAATAGGTAAGAATATTAGATTTCAGATCATAGTCCTGGCTGCTTAAGCCTTTCCAAGACTGAGGATATGAAACTGTTATGCAAACTAGTTGCCCTTTAAATGCATCTTTAGGAAAAAAAAATGCAACATCTCACTGAAGAATGATTGAGTTGACATTTCATCTTCAGCGCATACTGTCCAGGTACAGGTCTCAAAGAAAAGCTTCAAATGATGGAGTGGCTTCAGCATCCATAAATTTGTGATGTCTCCCCAAATTACTGTACTAAAGGGATTTCTTGCCTTAAAATGGAATTCTGCCTTTCACTGTGGTCAGAGTATCACCCCACATGGGTCTGGACTCCCCACGCTCAGGAGCGCCTTCCCTGGAAAGCGCAAATCCATCATGAGTGCCAGCACTTTGGAGCAGATGTTGACAGTGACACCTGGCCTCAGGAGGAGCTGTGGGCTTGTTTTCTCTCCATTTTCCCTTCAGCCGAAGGCCAAGACTTCCGTATGCTCATTATTTATGAATAACCTTTTGACTATGCAGTGCTCTCCCTAATACAACATAAACAACTTGGAAAAAAAAACCACCTCAGAAAGGAGGAAACATCAATAACCTTGTATTGCCTGGATTGGCTTCAAGATCCTTTTACACGTAAAATGAGAATTATTTCTTAAACTGAGAGTATTTAACTGGAGAAAAGATTCTCACTTCAGTAAATATCCATCTATAAAAAAGCATAATCCAGTTGGATAGCAAGAAAACAAATCACATACACTATAATACAGAGGAAAGAATCTAATGCTTCCAGATGCATATTACAGGAAAATAATTAAATATCAGCCTTGGTAGGAGACATCATGTTTGACATAGATAAAGAAGAAAGCTCTGTTGACGTGAACCCAGAAATAAAACAGAGGAGGAAAGCACTTAAATATAAAAAGTAATCAAAGAAGTAACTTGTCTGCCTTGATCGTGCTTCCAGAAAGTTTCTGGGTCATCTGTCCATGCAGTTTTCCTGCTTTCAAATCTAAATTCTGTAGCATAACAACTATTAGACAGGAAAAGATGGACAGTGAAACCGGATGCAGACAAGGCTTTTCAAGCCAAGGCAAGAAACATCTCCTGACAATCCTGATTAAAATGTCTCAGTGCACTTTACACGGTGCACATAAGAAGGTAAATATATCTTTAGAAAAAACACTGGAATAAGACTTCCTCAGCCACAGAGCTGGGACCCCTGCTTGCACAAAATCCCTACTATCCCATATGCCATGAGGTCATATGTTGGGGTGTTTTGATTCCCCCTAAGGTAATAAGATGTTAAGATCAAGAATGTTCTTCTAAGAGCTGCCATGTCCAAACAGTTGTGGATTATGTGTGCTGAAGGTTAATGCTGCTTTTAATCATCCGTCTTCCTGGAGCAGCTTGGAGAACTGTTCATATGAAGCCTAACGGCTTCCAGGTTACCCACCCCCAAAATCCTGATGTCCCCACACAGCCAAAGTCTTCTCACTGATGGCTACCACATGCCCTCAGTCTGTGAGGCTGTGAGCAGTCTAACATAAGAGCCAACGCCCTCCAGTCCTGTTCCTTGCAACACTACCCTTTACCCAACTGCCCTTCTGGTTCTGCACTCTTCGGTGATACCCTTAAAACTGGGAGCACTTCTTCCTGCTCTTCTCCCCGCGAATTGTGCCCTCGGCTCCCAGTGGAGCCAGTTTCCCTCCCCCAGGCGGGCTGATGGGCTTTGGCTGGGGGCCATTTTGGCGGGATGCGAGGAAGCACCCTGCTCAGATTGCAATCAAGTGGAGAACATGCCGTCCCGTAATTATGCAGTTGTGCATGGTGCAGTGCAGAGGGTCCTGCAATTCAAACTGCAGCTGCAATTCACATCACAAGTAAAATGAGTGTATTTTTCGAGGGGGAACGGTGACACACAAGCCCTGTCTTAACTATGGCTAATTCCACTTTCCTTGGCTACAATTTACTCCCCTGGCAATCACTGCCCCATCTGTGAGGTCTTCAGCAAGAGGAAAACCTCATATCGAGGACCTCAGAAGAGCAATGTGGGGACACATTGTGATGCTCAAGAAACTTGCTTCCATGCTGAATGGCAGTTTTGTAACAGGTTCAGATTTTCGACGGTCTGTATCACATTCAGCAGCAGCGTTCCATGTGCAAGATAAAGCCTTTTAACTCAGCTTTCTCACTTGTTTCCAGAAATTTTCACTTGTGGCAAGTACTAGGAGAGGGAGATGCTGCTTCCCTGCAGGGGCAGGTGATACCTGCTAGTTTAGGACGGTTTCCATTAGCATACAGGGCCAGGAAAATGTCAAACTAGGAAGGAGAAGAGGAATGGCCTCAGATGCACTCGCTGAACTACTCCGGTAGGAAAAGCATTTACTTCATTCAGTTGCTTGTCACAGCTTTTTTGTGTTGGTGCCATACACAAATATGCACTTAGAGCCAATTTTTGCACACCCTTGCAGGCCCTTCGCCTTGGGTACGGGAATCTGGACTTGCTGTCGGTGTGCAATGCAAATAAACAGGGTTTAATCCAAGAACTTTTTACTGTTTTGTAAGTTTGCAAAGAGCTTCACATGAAAGCCTACATTGTTTTGAAGTGCTAGACATTTTCCTGCTCTAAAGTTTCTAACAGGGAACTTCTGCTTGGTTTTGGATTCAGGTCTTGTCGGTTCCTTGGCTGCCAAAATGACTTTTGTGAGGCAGATAAAACTTGGAATAGATCTGGTTCAACCTTTGCAGCCAGCTCCTACGCCTATGAAGTTTCTGAAACAAAACCCAGAGTCTCTGAGGGAATAAAAAAAAAAAAAAATTCCACCTCCACTTTCGATTGCGGTTCGGTTCTCAGCCGGGTTTTACGGTTTGGTCTTGTCGCTGCCCTAAAATCGGTCAGTGAAACCCCCTTTTGAGCTGGCCATCGCTTTAATCCCTTTTTCCCCCTGGAGGTGCGAGCCCCTCGCAGCGCGGGCAGGGCGTGCGCGTCGCTCACAAAGGAGGAGCCGTGGCCGGGACCGGCCGGGAGCCGCTCCCGCCGGCCCGAGGCTCCGGGGTGGGAGAAACCCGTCATTCCTCCATCCATCCCGGCGCGGGGCATCCGCGCGTGCCGCTGGGAAAATTACCTGCGTAACGGCGCAGAAAAGAAAAAGAAATAAAAAGACAAAAGGTGCTCTAATGCCCGGGGTGATGGCTTTCTCTGAGAGCCCCGTTCACCCCCGCGGCCCCTCTGCCCGGTCCCCGCCGGCCGTGCTCTGGCGGTGACTCCGAGCGGGCCGCTCGGCGCGGCAGGAGCGGGGCCGCCCTGCGGGACTGGTGGGCGGCGGAGCAGCGGCGCTGCCCCGGGGGCGGAGGGGAAAGGGAAGGGGAAGGGGAAGGCGGCGGCGGGGCTCCCGGGAGCCGCCGTCCCTCGGCGCCCGCCCGCTCTCCGCCCGGCGCGGCCCCGCCGCCGCCGCCGCCGCCACAACCGTGAGCGGCGAGGGACCCCTGGCGGCCGCCGCCCGGCCCGCTCCGCTGCCCCCGCCCCGCCACCGCCGCCCGCCCCGCTCCGCTCCGCCCCGGGGGCCCGACAGCAGCCGGGGCAGCCGGGGGTCATCCCTGCGCCGCGGGATGTGGGGCGTTCGTGGCTCTGTGAGGCGGGGAGGAGCCCTCAGGTCCCCCTGCGACGGGGTGCGGGATCCCCCCCCCCGCCCTCGCGCTGGGTCCTTCGCCCTCGACGGGAAAGGTCAAGCAGAAATAAATAAGCGTGAGCGGGTGTCGGCGTTGGTGTCAGTCCCCGGGGATGTCTCCCAGCCTCGCAGAACCGAAACCTCAACGCCGCCCTCGGGCGAGGGGCAGCCTGGGCCGATCCACGCCGGGCTGCGCCTCCGCACCCAGCTCCTTTCTAGGGGCGCGGAGGGCGGAGGGGATGCACATTCCTGAGCCGCGCCGCGCCTTTCCCTGGAGGGGCGGCGGGAGAGTTTGTTTGTGCTTGGGCAGCCGCCGGCAGTTTGCAAAACTTTTAACACTTAGCCCGTGCCCAGAAATATAAAATACAAAAAATACAAAAGTATGTATACGTACAAATAAATAATTAGTATAAATATTACACAAATATTAAACAGAGGTTTGTATGGGAGCATCTCTGGAGGCCTCTTGGCTTTTTCTTCTGCAGTTTGGTAGTATCTTGTGTGCTCATGGGCTTCCTTATCCCCACCTCTGTCTCTTCCCCTGCTCCCTGCTGCATCTCCCTCCCTGGCCTTGTTTCGTTCGAGGAAAACCCGAAAGTGTCCTTGAAGAGTAGACAAGTGCATTTGTGTAACTGCACACGAACTGCACAGATGATGCTACGGCAACCGCCTCACTCCCTCTCTCTGACACGTGCCTCACTCCACCGTGCAGGCACAAGTATCTCACTTTTCCCAAAGCTCAGCCCAAGACTCAGCCACAGCTGTCCTTGGCATGGGGGTTGATACCACCTTCACACCTATGGGCAGCACCTGAGCGAATGAGGGTATACTGGTTATCTGGGGGGACCACAAAGTGTGTGCATTTTCAGATTTGGGAGTCCAAGGAAAGCAGTGGCCTGGCCAGAGTCCCCAGCTGCCTTGGCAAAATAGACATCAGAGCTACAGAACCAGCAACAACCACAGTGCCGGAGCCAGTGCCAGTGTACAGGCTGATGCTCAGCATCCTGAGCCTCAGGGCTCTGGTATTCAGCATCCTTCGAGCAGGCACCGTCCCACTGCCCCTTCTACTCTCCCCACAGTCTAGAACTGGCCTCTGCTCCCTCTACCCAAAATCATTGCCCCTTGTTCTCATCCTGCAGGCAGCCAATGTTTGCCCTCCAAGTAAACCATCCCTAACCAGCTGTTGAGTACACGGTGACAGCACCACACCTATTTCTGGTGGGCTTTTTTACTGCTCTTGTCCATCCTCTGCTGAAACACTCAACACTTCAATAAAGCTATTTATGATTCCTGCTCTTTGTCTCCTCTTGTTTGAGCTCCCAGACTCAGATGCTGATGTACAAAATACATGGATAATGTTGTATTCTTTGTTTTGTGTGAAAAAGAACAAGAAAAATTCACCTACAATACAAAGTGGCATCAGTTTGTTTTTCCACCCTACAAGGCAATGTCTGTCTTGCCCTGTGTTTTTAATTGGAAGCCTGTATGGATGACACAGGAGCTTGTCAGATTAAGACAGGAGGAAAAAAGCAGGTGAAAATTGATTTGCAAGGAAGTTACTTAATCATATTTTTGTACTTTTGGTTGTGCCTTGAGCTTTTGTTTATATCTGCATATATTTGGGAGATGCTTGTGACACGACAGCCCTGTTGATGCATCAATTAAGGACCTCAGTGACAAGTGCCATGCTCTCTGAGGTGCCCAACGAGCTCTCCAAGACAAGAATCAATGTTTCTGGAAAATGAACCTCGGAGGGAAAATAAATGTCTTGACCAGGATATCTTATTTCATTTTATCTAGAAACATAAAAAAATGCTTTGTCCTAGCAGCTATATATCACGAGCAATGAAAGAAGGGTGTCCTTTTATTTCTTTCCACAGAAAGTTGCGTCCAAAACAGGCAAAGAAGAGCTGAAAGAACTAAGTACAGAGGAGGAGAAGCAGAGTTGCACATACCAATGCCATTGCACCCCAATCAATCTTCCCACAATTATACAGAAAGACACAGACATGCACACATGGCCACTTCTGAGCCAAGTACATCCTAAGTTATGCAGAACCTCTGTGTCCTCCCTGCCACGAAAGTTGTGCTAGACTCACAGTGCTCATAGGCTGAAAAACATAAACACAAGGCAGTGTGATGCCTTCTGGGGCTGAAAGCTGCTGGAGGCTCTTTGGGGATGGGGATGTGTCAGCTGTCCTGAGACAATGTCCACCAGCTCCTGTGAGGTGGCCCTCAAAGATCAGCAACAGACAGGCAGGGGGACCATGTGCAGGGACAGGCTTGTGGGGAGGCCTGTGGACCATTCCCAAATCAACAGAGCCAAAAACTGTGAGGCCCCATCAGCTGAGTTGTGGAGGAGGCAAAAGCAAGGAGGCAGAAGTGCAGGAGGCATATGGAATCCAGGAGAGGAGGAAACAGCTGAGAATACTGCAAGAGTATGCAACCAAGACATGATCTCCACACTGACATCGTGACCCAAGAAGTTTGCGTGGGAGACTGAGTGAACTGAGAGAAGAAAATAAGTCAGTCAAGGGCTAATCCATGCAAAGTTACCAACACTAGGTCCGTCCCTGAGCTGCCAGGGAACGTGCATAAGGGAAGCATTGCAAGGTGGGTGCTTGCCACTTGTCTCCCAGTATTGGAGAGACAGGCTGGAAAGCTGTGTGGACCACTCTGCTCCAGCACAGCCTTCTCCTGGCTAGGTATCACACCACCTTACAAACGCCAGGACCAGGGTCAGGAGGAGCAGGGAAATGCTATCACTGGAGATGAACAGAGTCAGACTGCAGGGGAGATGGCAGTGGGTGAGGTTCAGCTTGCATCGTGAGGGAGTGCTGGGCTTCTTGTTAGCTCCACGTTTTCCTTTCCTCTCCCTGCTGGTGTGAGAAAACGCACGCTGCATTTGTTCGCCTGCCAGGAATATGGCAGCTCAAGCACCATCTTGTTAGCTTTGCTGTGTGTCTTTTCCCACAGCATTGCTTTAAATAATGAAGGGAGTCATGATCCACCAGCTGGATTAGACGTTATGAACTTATCTGGCTCAAATCCAATGGTGATATATTTGGCCTCATTATTTTATGCACAAATGCCACAAAACAGCACAAGATTTTTTTTTTTCCTAAATACTCTTTTTCTTTTAGCACTGACATTTCTCTTATTTGCATTAAGATTTGCAATGAACAGTCTGTGCCAGACCAAATTTGTCAGATACTTCTGCTTTTGTGACTGGTTTGTTCCAGGAAATCAGGATTGGAATTGTATCCCCTGACCTCAGGGATGGGTCAGCGAGTACTCCCAGGGTGGGGAACATCTTCTCGCCTTCAGGGACCAGCTGTGTGAAGAAATGGGGGAAACTGGTGCCTTGGCCAGGACATCGGTTCAGGAAAATTGAAATCGAGTTCCTCATGTGTTGTGGTTTTTAGCAAGCATCAGAGCTGTAGTTTCCCTAGCTGTATGGGGAATATAATAACATTCAACCTGCTTTATAAAGTAATCAGAGGCTTACAAGACTTTTATTAAATGGAGATCTAGATGGAAGTGATGGGAAGTGCTGTTACATGAACTTCACTTATGCTCCTGCTGTTTCCAGTGCAGGTACCCAACAGTGTGCATGCAGGGTGATAAATGCAATGGGGCAGGGAAGCAGGCACACTTGCTGTGGAGTGCAAGAGTTCCCCCTGCAGTGGGAATCAGCCTCCCTGTCACTTGGGAGACAGAGGCAGGGAAAGTTTTGCACAGGAGGACAGAAAACTGCCTGCAAAAGCCAGAGACGCAAGATCAGAGGTCAGGGATGGATGAGAAATGCTTTGAGCTTGGAAAGATTAGAGGGCAAAAGCCTTCACTGTGGATACTTTGATCTTGTAGCAGTACAGATCCTACAGAGTTTGGCCCTACCTAAAAAGCATGAAATTGCCTTGGACCAGGGTCTCGTGTCCTTTGCTATTCCAGCAAAGTAAAATAAAAAATTCACAAAGAGATGTGAAGTACCTGGGATAGTAATGCCCATCAGCTTCTAAATTATGATTTCTTAGTGATTAAAGTGCAAGAAATGAGGGTGTTGTGTGGGATGCTTTACCTGACAGGATCATCCTGTCATGATCACGCTGTGTTACAATTCAACTCAACCTTCAGGCAATGCACTCCTGCTCTGCCTCCAGAACCAGTCAGTGTCTGCTCTGAGTATTTGAGTATTTCATCTGACAATCCAGAGAGAACGGGAGATTAGAGAAGCAGAAACCTACAACATTTGGGGGGGGGGGGGAAAGCCTTTTTCCCCCCATTTGTTTTCTGTTTCATATAGTGTTAGTTCAGTATGTGCCATTGTGCTGAGTCTGCTGTTTGAAGTAGTTTCTGCAAAGTCAAGACCAAGTTTGGGAGAATCTGGAAATAACACAAACACACTGAATCTGAAAAGCAAAATCAGACTCTCCTCATTTTGTTTTTCATTAAGCAGAAAAAGGGAAGAGAGTGCTCCATGTATTCAGCCATTCAAGTGCTATGTACTCGGATACCGTCTGGGTGAGCCGAAGCGTCACTCTGCAAATA